ATTTATTTTTATTTTATTATATATATATATATATATATATACACACACACACACACACACACACACACACAAATAAATATGGCTCTTTTTATTTATTTTTTGTTCTTACACTTGAGACAAAATTTGAGGTATTACTGTAGCATCCAGCTAGTCCTCAAACGTAACCTGAAATGTGAGAGATGACTTTATGACTAGAATATGAGTTTCATGTGATTAAGCTTGTATTTTTAAGTCAAAAATAAACTTGAAAGAAGTTGGGTTATACTTTCATAACTTTATAAGCATTTGGAAATAAACTTGGTTACTACAAATAAAGGTTTCTAAAACTGGAATGATGTGACCTTTCACATATGTACTTTAAGATAGTTGAATCTCAACTTTGAGCTCTTCTGTGAAAATATATCAAAGTTAATAGACTTTCTGATTCTGGCTTCTCTTGTGGTGAACTTAGTTTAAAAAGACGTTTTACAGTTGCTTCAGTTACTGCCTAGTCCAGTTTCTTTATCTAGTATTTCTATTTTTTTGTTAGTAGCAATTTAAGCAGCAATAAAATAAGCAATTCTGATCTAGAACTAGTGTTAAGATTAGAATGATTCTGGACCTTTCCAAAACAGTTTGACTGACTGTTTAATAATATGTCTAGTAGACTGAGGTTTTAAAACTAGCCTGTAAACTGATACCCAGCCTTGCCTCAGTTTCCTGGTTTGAGGCAGGAGTACTCCCTTGGTTTTTGTTGTTGATGTTTTTGTTGTTGTCTGACTCCCATTCATGATATTGGTGCATAAATCCTGTCTAAACCAAGAAGCTGAGGCCACCGTTGCAAATCAAGAAGAGCTTCAAAATTCCTTTAAATTGTTTAATTCGAAAGTTTGCTTGAGAGAAACTCTAATATGCAGAAAAAGAATATCCAACAACCAAGTAAACTGATTTATATTCTTTTAAATATGGAAATAAAGTATTTCAAGTGATAATATTTAATGTTTAAATTTTGACTTTCTTTAAATGGACATAATGAACTTAAATTCACACTTATTTGTGAAAACTTTTATCTATGGTTACAACTGAAATCTGAGTTTTATCCAAATGAAATTATAGAAAATAATTTTTCTCTGGTTTTTATTAGTTGGGTGTTTTATGCAGCAATATGTAAGATTCATTTTAAAATAGGAAAATATGACTAAAACCACAAAAATTAGCAGAGGAGCTTTGTGGCAAGTGTAGTACCTGTAACCAATTCTAACTTCTCTTTTGAAATTGCCAAGTATTCGAATTGGTGTGTTTCAGTTTTTTTTGTTTTTTTTAATTTTTTTACGTGAATTGACTTTACAACAATTTTCAGTGAAATAAGTTGTCAGATAAAAATTCCTTCACTGTTTAATCTTTTGCCAATAATGGGGGAAAAAATGTTAACACATTTTCATAAGAATACAAAGATACTTGTTTAACTGCTACTCTAAACACACAAAATACTAAGCATGAGTGATATCATTAAGGAATGCTAGGCAAATCGTTTGATCATTTTTACTGTTAAAATATCTGACTAAGACTGCCTTATTAATATAGCATGTCTTTTATGCTTTATAAAATGAACAGCCCCTATAATAGAATATTTGGACAATATTTTGTATATTCATGTTGGGTCATAATGTTTCCAGTTTTGAAATTCTATTTAATTCTCAGTATAGTTTTTCACCTTTTTGTATATTAATTGACGTATTTGTTTTGAAAGGGTAAATATACTAATAGCATACTTTCTATAATGAAAGCAGCAAAACATGTACATACAGTATATGCTTTTAAACACAGAACCAGGGGTAGGGGGGGGAAGGAGCGTTAAAACTGGTTTTCTTGTTACTATGGAACATTAAGCTAGTTAGAATAGTGTTAAAAACCAAATACGCAAATGAAGTTAACTTTTTTAGTTGGAAATATATTTAAAATTCATTTTATAGATGTAAACATTTTAAATATATTTCCACAGTAATCTGTAAAAAAGAGTAACTTGCTATCAAGATTTTTATTTTTTATTTATATAAGTAAAAATAAAAATCTTGATGGCAAGTTACTCTTTTTTTTTAAATTGGTCTGAGAACTTTACAACCTTATATTCACATAAATTTTACAATGCCAAAAAATGGCAGATAAAGCAATGCATTTTGTAATCTGGCCAGCAGAGTGGGTGCTTGCACGCAAAATAGCTTCCATACCAGAAGGGTATTAAGCGTCTCCTCTATGGAGCTTCAGGGTGTATTCACCTTAAAATTCAGTAACCAAACCACGAGCACCTGGTTGGAAAAACCTCTTTAAAGGTGTATTTTAGAGTTCTACTGTTAACGCTCAGTATTTTGCTAGGATTAAGAAGTATTAAACAATTAAATATCACTCCTTAATTATGATGGTTTTAAATATTTTTATCTACACTGAAAAAAGCTGGTTAGGGTCCAAAGTACTTTGTTTGTTGCAATAATTGGGCCTACAGGTTTACCCAGACTGTGAGCTCAACTGTGTAAAAACAAAAAAGTGTAATATTTTATGAACTTACAATAACCTATAACCAACGTTGATGAGATAACGTGCAAAAGAGACTAAATTAGTCCAAACAAAAAGGCCTACTGATATAATTCAAGGATTGTTAAGATTATGCCTTATAAACAAGAACACAATGAGACCAAAATCAGTGAACTGAAATTGGTATGTCAGAAACTAGGCCTAATTGGTGGACAAACCAGTGAGAGGATAGGCTATTCCACCACCCATCACTCCCTTTTGGGGTCTGTGATGGGGTGGACTAGGCCCTGAGGCCCCCTGCTGGAGGCCTTGTGGCCCTGCCACACCATGCCCCAGAAAAGGGCAGTCTCCTCTAAGTGGCCTAGAGTCATGGCATGGGACGCAGCCAATCAGAGATGAGCTGTAGGGAGCAGCCCAGCAGGCCCATATAAAAGGAACTGCAGTGCAGAGCAGAGATCAGTTCCTTGCTGGAGCTGGAGGAGTGTGGATGGTGTGCCTGGTTGGCTGAGGGATCTACAGGACCTCGGACAGAGCAGTCCTGGCAGAGACCAGGAGTGGGAGGCTGGGACAGGAAGGAGTTTCAGGCTGGCTGCTGGGACTCAGCCAGGACAAGGCCCTGAGGTAAGGGTGAAAAGTGAGCTGGGGAAGTGGCCTAGGGAACTGTAGCAGCAACGCAGCTTAGTTAAAGGGACACAGTGGACAGCTTCTATCTATAGGGTCCCTAGGCTGGGGGAAAGTGACCTGGACTTTGATAAATCCCAGAAGCAGAACTGAACTCTTTTAGTGGCCCAGCTGAAGAGCTGGGGCCAGAAAGGCCCAGAGAAGTGAAGAATCTCCATGGAGGGAGCCCTGGGGGACATGTCCCCACAACAGGGCCAGGACTGCTTGAAGAGCAGGGACAATTTGAGGGAGCCCTGAATGGGCTGACAGACAGTTTGGACCAGGGTACTGCGATAGGTCCTGCTGGATTGATTGAGGAGTGAGCCCAGGGATAGGGCTGCAGGTAGAGACATTATTGAGGGCTTTGAGATAGGCCTGGTCGGATTTGTATCCCGGAAGGGGTTGGATTTGTATCCCGGAAGGGGTTTGATTTTTGGCTCACGTACAGACTGTGTGTGACTTGGCCGGAGGGCTGGTTTGCTGAAGACTCACCACAAGGCAGAGAGGAAGTGCAGGCACATGCAGTTGAACCCGGGGGTGCTTGCAAGAGGTGAGTGGCACGGCATTACAAGGTCCTTAAAGAGTTTTTTGGAGAAAAGCTTTACCATGATGGCCGCCATCCTCACCATCTTCTGGGACCTCAGGCTTTTGTCATCCTGATCCTAAGAGATGTCCTGACAAGACTAGGCCAGAGAGAGTCCCCCAGATGACCTAACCACCTCTACTGGCTCGAGCTGAATCCCAGCCACCAC